AGACCATAATTATCATACCTTTTAGAGGAATTTTATATTTTTTTTAGCAAAATGATTCCTATGGCATCACAAAGGATTTTCAACTGTCACCTGACCATTTAGCCATCTGTAGCTAATTAACACTGGCTTCCAGTGAATTCTAGTCTATGAGAGACATAAGCACACGCTGATGCATATATTTATAAAATCTCTAAGACCTCACAAGTCCTAGAACTGTGTGTTTTGTGAATCACAGAACAAGGATCAAAGTCTGCCCATATTTTTTTTTTATCAGTCATTTAGTCAATGACATTTTTTTGTAAATCGTATTTTATTTTCAAGATGCTATACCGAGGGGTTACAGTTACATGAGTAAGGTTATGAGTACATTTCTTGTTGAGCATTGTAATATTTTAAGATGACTAAAAAATACAGAGCAAGTTCATCTCTAATGAGAGAAAGCATATAAGCATCTATTGTAGCTAAAACAACACGTTCATGACATTTATCTTAGCTTCCCTACTTCCTGAAATCATTAGGTTTATTTGTATGGAAGCAAGAGAATTTTATGCTATATTACTCTGTGATCCCCGCCAAATGAACTTTGCTGCTCACCAAGTACTAGGGCATAATTATGATTCAAGCACAATATGCTATTTGTTGAAATGATTTACTTTTTTTTTTTATCAAACAGAGAATCTATGGCTCAAAAACTATAAGCAGGAAAATCCATGTCAAGATGAACAGATATTAACAGATACCCTGAAGATTGAAAATGCTTGCTCTGTGTTTCTGAGGAGAACATGCCTAGCAGGGGTTAAACCCAAATGCTTGGGCCGCAGCCTATTTCTGTCAGCACTCTGTTCAGGAAATAAACATTTATGCTTTCTGAAATGAAAGTGTATTTTTGAAGACAGGCCGTCAGATAGTTTTTGCCTTTCACACTTTCCTATGCTTAGCCTTTTTCTTTTTTTGTAAGTTGACTGTGAAATGCAGAAGTTTGCCAGGTTGAAGGGACAGAGTGCTTGACAAGTGCCCATGACACCTCTGTCAACCCAGGAAGTTCCCAGCTGCAGCAGGCAGGAGGCTTGGCACAGAGCATGCTTTCCGCAAGCCTATCACCTCAGGGCTACCTGTCTCCTGGGAAGCTTTTCAATCCTTCCCAATGATGTTATTCCTAACTGTCATCTGGTTTATTTGGAGCACACTGGATTGCAGATAAACATGCTATTTAACTGCGGGTCAAGCTAGAGAGTAGTTCTACTAAGCAAAATGCCTGCGATACATTAAATGGCACTGACTCCAGGACAGAGATGAAGAGAGATCAGAATTGTCAGCGATAGGCATGGAATGGGCTATAGCTGGGAAAGAAGAAGAGGGAAAAAAATGTGCCATGCTATCAGAGTATTTTAAAAAGCTGTAATCTGGATGAACATTTGAAACTATAACCTGTCACACACCAAAGATTAAGATCCCAGGATGTACAAAACATGAAGTTCAAACGACATAGCTGTGCAAGATATTTGATTTCACTTCAGAAAGAGGTCGCTCTCCAAAGATAGCTAAATATTATAGAAGATGAGGTCCTCTCACTGTAGCCTGATAGCTATAAAACATCGTTAAAGGTCCGATAGAAGCACAAACAAGCCATTATCATTTCGACCAAAGTATGCGTGAGCCAATAGAACAATCATGTTCTTAGAAAATTCCTTAGGTTTGGTTTAATAAAACATACATCTTCATTTTACCTCTTGGCCATTTAGGTTTTGATAGGATGCTCAGGTCTATTAATACAGATATTATTTTATCCATGTGTCTTTATGGAATTGAAATGCAACCTGAAAGGGGCAGATAAAAGAATTTTATGGAATTAAAATAAAATTTGTGGTAGGCATTTGGCCTCCGTAGTGTGATCAGGTTATCTAACTGGGATGCCATTAGGCAGGGTGGGCAGAAAATTATGCCAGCTTCAGGGCTACAAAGGGTTAAATTGTGAGACAGCTATTCATAGACCACCAAGAGATAAAAATCCAGCCTTCTATTTTGTAAAGCATAGATCATCTTTTTCTCTTATGCTTTTGCAAAATTATACTTTAACCAACTGAAAGAAATTCAAAGATACCAGGCAAGCAACTCTGTCTAATTTTTTGTTCAATAACTCTCCTCCCAAGAGTCTAGCGAACAAAGAAACAACAACATAGAAAAAAAAATCTCTACTTTTTTTCCTTGATGGAGCAAAAGTTAGGCATATAGATGGGATTACACACACACACACACACACACACACACACACACACACACACACACACACACACACACACAGAGGCACGCAGTCATCAACATATTTAAAAAAAAACAAATTATAGGATCAACCTTAAAAAAATTAAATTTTATTGCTTTTGGCTTAATTAAACCCCAAAGAACTGTGTGAAACATTGTTGTGGCTGAAAAATTGTTAATTTGTGAATAGCAGGGACAAAGGGGCCCCCTGTGCAACTTTAAAGTTTCTAAGCACGTAAATGTCGATAGTGTGCCTTCTCCATCATCAGCACTAAATTCACATTGATGCCTCTTTTCTTCTCTGTATCGATCCTTCCATGAGAACGTAGATTTGTATCTGTTAATTAATGCGTCCTGAAACAGCGTTTGTATTAATCAGGCAGATAAGAAAAATTGGATGCCTGCACCCCCTCCCTGACAACCGTAAAAGTGCTGGCCCTGATAAAATCGTGGATGGACCTCAATAAAAAAGTTCCTCCTTCCACTCAATAAACTAATCATCCTGCTTTTAATTATTCGGCAGAAAGATGTGTGGAGATTGGAGAATGTGTAAATCTATTTACTAAAGGCAGTGTCTGGGAGGGAGAATTGGGCTGTGATACCAAAGTGCTCTAGGCCACACGCTTGCTCTGTCCATCTGCTGATACAGAAACTGCTATTCGGGAACATTGAGAGGAAGAAGAAAACCATGGCAGACTGAAAAGACCTTTTCCTTTCTGCTCAGAACTTTCCAGATCATTTGTTTTGCTTGGAATTAATTTACACGAGAGATTCCCCTGTCTCTCTTCTCGAGTTAAATATTTAGATTTGCTGTAGATCCATTTTCTTGGAGGATGGGGTATATGGGAAGCGGAAAAGACCCATGTGAATTTTGAATTTTGTGCCTCTGTGTGTGTGTGTGTGTATGTAAGCATGTGTGTGAGCATGATTTGCTCCCAGTGAAAAGCACTTAGAAACAAATCTCATTATTGTCCTTTTGTAAATCATTGTGTACAGGATTCACACTTGTTATATCTCAAGTATTTGTTAATTTGACACTAATTTAACTAAATTTTGTTAACACTAAAGGACAAAACAAAAACAGAAAAACAATTTATTCAGCCCGATCAAAAGAGGCTCCATCAAAATAATGGCAACAATATGAAAGCCCTTAACAATGAAAGAAATGCTTTTTAGGCCTGCCATAAAGACCCCTTTCAGAAAAAGCTCCACTAATCCCTTGTGATGGTTTTATTAAGTTCGTTGTATTTTGTGGTACCAAATGACACTGCACTAGTTCTCACCAACAGGTCAGGAAGGAAATCATTTCCTTTATTGTACTAATATTACATCAGACATGATTAGCTTGATATAAATAAAATGATAATAACAATGACCCTATGCAGGTAAAAATGCCTAGAAAGGAAGTAAAAACTACATTTCTAGGCGTTATTACCAAAATAACTCTTCCCATCCCTTCTGCAGGAGTACTAATGAGAGGACTTTAAATCCTGGTATATTGTCTCCAAAGCTGTGACTGGTCAGACTTGGAATTCCTGGGAATACCAGTCAATGGAAGATTTGTTTTGAGGATTCTTGGGAAAAGCATCTGCTCATCAGAAATCTTTGTTGTGACTTTTTTTTAGAGTATAGATCTAGATCCTCTGAATATGAATAGAAATATTATCTATATACATGTACATTTAATTTATATATGAATTATACCTATAATTATATATAATATAATTTATATATATGCTTAAAATAACAATCTTTCTTTCCCCATCAAGGACATTTAGCTTTTTTCTTTTTATATGTATTCCATAGTTTAGAAGGGACTTTAAATATGCTTTTTGTATTATGCCTACCATTTCAGTAAATAATTGAAGCAGTCAACCAGACATCTAGGGTTTAAAAAAAGACATAAAATGCAGAAATACTTACCAAATGTATAATATAGATTAGTATTTAGATGGTATTTTATTTCCAAAATACAAAAAAATAATGTGCAATTCCTTTGTCTTATTCAATGTTAAACAGCCAGAACTGACACAGAACCAATACATGTATTCAATATCTTCTTTCCACTAAGCCCTGGTATTTTTTTATGTTTAACTATTTAAATAGCTACAATATATTAACTATAGCTTTTGTGTTTGGTGTGGCACACTGCTAAGTGTTCTGATTTCTTATATACATTTATTTTTTAAAAGAAATTCCTATGAAATGTTGATGGGGATAAAATATCCAATTAAGCAGATTGATCTTGTAATTCCTAATGACTACCATAGAGAAATAGTTCCAAGTTGTAATTTGCTGTGTGATTTAAACTATTTTCCTTTCTTTTTGAAGGGGAGGCAAATGGGCTTTACTATTTGTTTTTATGTTCATCAACATAAGTTTTTATAAACCATGTATTTGAAAACTGGACTTTCTATAATACAGTGCTATAAACTTTCAGCCAGAAATAAAGAATAAAGATTACTTAGTGTTTTCTTTGCAAATAGAAGAAAAAAACACTACCTCTATTATGCTCTTCTCAGTTGTATTTATAAGGATTATGAAAACACCAATCAGTTGAAGCTTGTGACTTTTGCTTTACTGTTCACAGAGCGAACCAGGGAGATTTTTTTAAAGAGCTTCTAATCAAAGCTCAGCATCATTTTGAGCTCTGATGCAGAAGCTAGTTACCATATGAAGCTAATGTTGCATTAGGAAATTATGGCTTTCAAGTAACTCGATCTGCCCATCTTCCCATACAGGCTTTTCCACGCTGTCCTTGGCGGACCAGATGAGCCTTCTGCAGAGTGCTTGGATGGAAATTTTGATCCTCGGTGTGGTTTACCGATCACTTTCATTTGAGGATGAACTTGTCTATGCAGATGATTATATCATGGATGAGGACCAGTCCAAGTTAGCAGGCCTCCTTGACCTAAATAATGCTATCCTGCAGCTGGTGAAGAAATACAAGAGCATGAAGCTGGAGAAAGAAGAATTTGTCACTCTCAAAGCTATAGCTCTTGCTAATTCAGGTTGGCTTGTTGTCACTGGTTATTGGTATATTTTCTCTTACGTCAGGGTTTGTTTTCTCCTTCCCTTCCCTTGAGTGATTGCCTAGACCTAGTTTGTTAATTCTGAATGAGCATAATGATAATCAATATATACCTTTCTGATGGAGAATTAGAAAATAAGAGAAAGATAACTTACAAAGAATTGTTTATCTTATTTGTTTATTGAAAGCTGGATTATTTTTTACCACCTCAGGTATGTATTAATCTGGATAGCAACAAATAACCCAAGAGTTGTTGATGAAATAGCATTAAGTGGACACCCTAGAGACAAAATTAGCTCCATTATTTTATTTGTTTGAGTCCTAAGTTAAAGTTATGTATTCACACAAGCTACTTTTCTTCTCAAACAAAAACACCAGTTTTGCAGTTTTGGAAATCTATTTAGTGCTGCTTTTCATTTTGGTTACCACAGAAGCACTTCCACTCTGGAGTTTTCTAGAAGTCAATTCTGCTGACGGAGTATTTCTTTCAAAGGCACCACCTACGCAGCAAGGGTTAAGAATTATGGGAATAAATGTTCTTTGCATTTGAGCTGAAATGTGCTAAAATAGGGAGCAACCTCTGATAAGTAAAAATCGTTGGTGCTTTGTTGTTTTTTCCTTTGTGCCTCTCCTGATCCTTTATTGTGGTCTTAAGTCTGTTTTAGCATTTGCATAAAGTTCAGGATAGATCCCTCCTTAATGACGTGCCGATCATTAGATACCTGCGTGTCAATAACATGCTCTGATGCTGTGTACCATTGACAGTCACACCGTGCCCCTCCATCTGCTTTTGTTTTGACCCTATCTTTGAACTTTATCTTGGTTGCTGGCCAGTAGTTTTCCCTTTAATTACAAGAAGGAAACTGTCAATAAAATCTGTTAAATGGGATGCAATGAGTGGCTTGAATGGGCGGATGGCTATTTGTTCAAATTCTGCAGCATTCAAGGTATTGACAGTTTGTTTTCTGGGGCCATATGTGACGATCAATCTCAGGCTGGGCTCAGCCGCGCTGAAAAATGAAAAACCAGATTGCTTTTGCTTACTTGTGGATGACGACTTTGTGATTTGGCGCGGTCCTAGTGAGATGAGACCTTCTGCCCAAATTGCCCCCATGAGAGCTAGGGATGCGTGACTGTTTTTAGAAATAATTTTTAATTGATTTTGTAATTAACAGTTCATCTACAATATTGATGCATGAATCCTCGGACTGATAGGAGGGAAATTGTTTCCAACAATGAAGTTGTACTTTCCTATTTGTCCTCACAATGAAGTTTAGCATCTCACAGTTTTTATTGTGAATATAACTTCCTCTCCACACCATTCACCCATCTTCTTCCACTCCCTTATAAAACTTAAAAATAATAAGATGTTTTTTGATAAATAGCACTATTGTTAGAATTCTGCAAGAACCCTTGCTCTGATCGCTAGAAGATCAAAGTGGCAGAAAGGATAGAATTTGTTTGGTTATTGTTCCTTAGTACAGACTTCATACTTTAGTACCTCTCATAATGAGATAAACGATTTTACAGCAGTGGTTTGGGGGAAGAATTTGTATTTGGTCTCCTAAAACAGTTATTATTTAAAACATTTACTTTGTGAAGTTTTGTTAAATAGACTAAGCACATTTTATAACTTTTATGTTTCACATCATCTCTAAAGTATTAGCTAATTGTGAATGCTAAATGAGCTAAAACTTGGTCACCAAAACTACTGAAGTTTATCATTTTATGTGTTAGATGTACAATTTATTGCTAAGTATTGTAAATTATAATATCTTAATTAGTGGCCACATTTTTGTCCTATTGTATAGAGGTAGAATCATTAATTTTGGTCGTATATAAATGTTCTAATCCCATGTACTCTGCTATTCGGAGGAGGGAAAATGACCTACTTTATAGCAATAACTAACTCGTGATTAGAAAGTCTTTACTTTTAAAAAGTAGTTAATTTTTCTTATTTAAAGACCAACATACTTAAGTGCTCCCTTTTCACAAGTTAGAATACAGTTGGGTAGCATGATACAATCTTTACCTTTTTAATATATATATTCTTATTGTAAAGATACTGTACAGCGGGGTCTTTTCTACAGGTGATTCTAACAACTTTTTAGCATTTTAATACTAAGAAAAATTACTTGAAACAGGCTCCAATCTAAAGAATAAGTGATTATATACCAAAAGACTATTATTATCCATATAATGTCACTTTCCCCTATTGTATAAATATGCGTTTTTTTCCTCACTCACATAACTCTATTGCTTTAGTCTGGGGTGAGCCATTTGGATAATCATTTTTTTGCTATTGTCAGCATAAGGCTAGTTTAATTCCCTTTTGACCATTACTTGGAGGACTGTAATAACATTATAAATTCAAGCTTTCTCAGGTCCAATGTAAGTTCTCTAAACTTCTGATGAAAACATCTTAAGATGAAAACATCTTAATATTTTTCATAGATACTATAGAAAACTCCTAGTTAGTGTTTTATTTAGGTATTTCAGATTAGCATAAGTAAAATTTAGGCATCAAATCTCTTTCAATGTAATTTGTGTAGGTATCTTAGCTTTTACTATATGACTGTACATGTTAGTAATAAATGTCTCATTTATCTACATTTTGCCTTAATTTGAACATCTGTCCTCATTCAATAATTATAAATGTGGTGCTTATGCTTGAGAAACAGGCAATTGGCTTCCTGATAATAGCTGCCATATTTTTTGTGGCTGTGTCACTGTCACATGTAAATTCAGGAAATCTTACAACATAGGAACCTCATTGTTAGTATAGATCAATGATCATATGTATGGCCAAAAGAACAATATGTCAGGAACAAACATGGTAATTCTCACATTCAAATCTTTGAAAAATCTCAAGTAATAGTTCCAGTTACTTGTGGGGGAAAAAATGTACAGAGTCACTAAAGCTATATATCTTCTGATTTTTGAGTACTCAATCTTGAGTACTTATAACATCTCTGATGCATCTACAGGATACCAAATTTAAAAAGAAAACTGCCAGCCACAGTTTTCATAGGATAATTTCACGTGATAGTTTCTTATGCCTACACCAAGAGGTCAAAATGATCTCTGAAATTCTTTCCATTTGAGACATTCTATGATGCTGTGATTAATTTTATGTTGGTATCAGAGGAAATAGTGAAATGTTGCTGTAGTTGTTCAGTAAGGTTATATCGTTAGATTCTATTCTTTTGATTGTGTTAATTCTTCTAGCTAAGAATTTGTTCAAAACTATTTTTACTGGTCATAGGGTACAAGACTCATTTCTACCTGATAGAAGATTGCAAATAGTTTGTTATGAATTACTTTGAGCCTGATAATTTGCTTTTTGCTTTTTGTTTGTGCATACATGTGTGTGCATGCATGCACACACGTGTGTATGCTAGTACTGGGGCTTGAACTCAGGACCTCATGCTCTTACCTAATATTTTTTGTTTCTTTATTTTCTCAAGGCTGACATTTTACCACTAGAGCCATGCCTCCATTTCTGGCTTTTTGCTGCTTAACTGGAGAATTTCTCTCCCTCTGTGTGTGTGTGTGTGTGTGTGTGTGTGTGTGTGTTAATATTCAGGGCTTGAACTCTGGTACTGTCCCCTGGCTTTTATACTCAAGGCTATCACTTGAGCCACAGCTCCATTTCTAGCTATTTTGCTAGTTAATGAGACATAAGAGTCACATTGACTTCCCTGTGTAGGCTGGCTTTAAGCCATGATCCTCAGATCTCAACTTCTGCTACCTTTTCACTTTCATTCTGGGGAATAAGCACATAAAATAGTCTGCCATTCCTTTCACTTTTTTCAGCATTCTTAAGGTAATGAATGAGCATGTGATTAGGAAAGGAGACAAACTTGTTGGAAATGGCCTCTGATTTTTTTTTTTTTTTTTTTTTTTGTCGGTCATGGGGCTTGAACTCTGGGCCTGGGCGCTGTCCCTCAGCTCTTCAGCTCAAGGCGAGCACTCTACCACTTGAGCTACAGCGCCACTTCCGGTTTTCTGGTGGTTTATTGGAGATAGGAGTCTCACGGTCTCTCCTGCCCGGGCTGGCTTTGAACCACAATCCTCAGATCTCAGCCTCCTGAGTAGCTAGGATTACAGGCGTGAGCCACCAGCGCCCGGCTTATGGCCTCTGATATTATGGAAGATTCAAATACTTACCAGCCAAGTTGGCATCAACATTCACTAATTAAAATTATCTTTAGCATTTCAAATAACTGGAGTTAGAAAGGTGCTGGAAACTTGTAAGACATAAAGAGAGGGAGAAGGAGAAAGGGAGGAAGAGAGAAAGACAGAGAAGAAAGAGGGAGAGAGAGACCTTGACCTTAAGTAATTGTAGAGAAATAGAAAAGATTTAGACCAGAAACCCTTTTATATAGGTAACCCTAACAATGATACCAGCAATTTTCAATTTATGAGGAAATCTCAGAGAAGTAAAACTAGGAGGACCAGGAGGGATTTCTATGGTACAACATTTCATGTAAATACAGTAAGAGCTACTTGTGTAGCTGCAGAAAGTGTGAGAGAAATCTAGGCTTTTAAGCCAGAGCAGAAATAAGGAAAGCAGGTCCTCTAAAAAAAAATTAAATGTATCTTGATGAAAAGCTATGAAATTAGGAGTCCTGATCTCATTCTGGTTGAACAGAGAATCAGAATTATCATTATTCTTTAGTATTAGAATTGTGACTTCTCTATGTTGGAAAAGACCCTAAAAGATTTCATTTTATCCAGCCCCCTATTTTAGGATTTGAGCTGCTTCTTTGGTATCTGCTAAGTGTTTTCTACAGTCTTTATAAGAATTCTGCTTGATTATTTTTAGAGATACCATACTATTAGTAGTGTAGTATTTTCTCATTCGCTCTCCACCTCTCTCCCCATGGTCTTGGAAAATAAAGACACACCGAAGTATATCACTTCATGCGTTTGTTTTCTGCACTTCTCTAACAGATCACCAAACTTGATGTAAAACAA